TTCTTCAAATATAGAAATGAAGATGTGTTGTTGGAACAAGTAGGTTTAATTGATAAGCAGATGAGATTTTTCTTCTGATGGGCGTGTTTCTATAACGTGGATTGATAAGCATTTGGTCACCTATAAAGTAATAGAGAGTATTTATAGATATCAATTTGTGCATATAATGTCATTTTTGATAAATATTTATTTCACTAAAAATAGATTTTTCTAAAAGGTTTTTACTTTATATAATAGGATTTAGTCTCATGTCAATGAATTTCTGACGGTTTCCTTTGTATTTGCTTGCATTTGCCTACTATTAAACAGCGATTCCTTAACTCCCAGTTAGAGTTTATTCCCTTAGGCTTGCTGGTTTTGGAAGCCTGCTTTTTCTGAGCCTCTTATCTATGCTTTTCAGATGTGAACCTCAACACATCAGTGTATTGGCGAACTTGTTGGATTCAACATTCTTGAAATTTGTGTAGGATTGCTTGTTACCGATATAGGAGATATGCTCATTTTGAATCTTTATTCATTTTTTGCTCATAATATATCTAGAGGTGGCCCAAGAGGCAGACGGGTTCAAGAAGACAGTGTTTGTTAGAATTAAATGCGTCATGTGTCAAAAAATATGCAATTAAATTGAAGTAAAATTCAAATAGAATACTTAATTGTTAACATTGAGGTTCATGATATTACAGGAGATTAATAGGGAAAAAGTTACCCAAAAGAAGGAACATGGGACTGGTGAATAGCAAGATGATTGTATGGGTAGTCAATTATGAAGACAAAGAAAGATGATACGTATAGACCAATGATATTGATATTTTGAGAAGGGAATAGCAGTGATTGCTGAAAAAGTTCTACTTGCCTATTCATACATCTGCAGTACTAGAGCATGTTTGGCAAGGCTTATAAAAAAATCATTTTTGTGATACTAATTTCCAACTTTCACCAACAATTTTTAAAAATTTTTTTTTTGAAACAAACTTATTTACTTGTAAGTTAACTTTTTAAGTTTAGCTAAACATGCTCCTAGCACCATTTTAACTTAATTTCTTTCATGAAAAGGATGTATTATAATGCATGAGCCAAGTAGCGTTCACGTCCAAAGTCCAAACTCTCATCACCACCTTCCCAGGGAAACAAAGTCACTTAGAGGCGACGCCACCCATCTGCGAATTGTTGTGTTTGAATTTTGCACCTCATTAACTTCAATAGACTTCATAGTGATTCCTTTTACTTTTCTCCTTTTATTTAAAGTGTCTTGGATATTACTTATTCTGCGGCAGCTTGTGATAACATGTGTATTCAATTTTTCTTTGCTTTTTTGGGATTCACAATGTTTTTATATTCTTTTACGTTCATAAATGTTACTAAATATAGTGATGGGACATCATATCACTGACGTTCTCTATGCTCAATCTTACTGCTTTTTACCTTGGCTGACTCAGGAAACGGTAGGGAGACCTGCATCTTTACGGGGCAAAATTGGACCTAAACACGTTGCCGATAGAGTTGAAAATCATTGTCCTTCAAGTAAGAAAGCGATGCTACTACCTATTAGTTTAGGCTTCCATTTATTCTGGTTTCATATTGGTATGGACATTCATTCTGGAAGCATATAGTACTATTTTCACTGTAGAAGCTTTTGTGAAATAGTGTTTGGAGTTCTCCTCTTTTCCATTAGGGCATCAACCTGTAACTCCATCTATCTTGTTGCTTGCGTTTTGTGCTTGCACGAGACTCATTAATTTGTCATTCTTTTGTTGGAAAATTAACTGAATATAAGTACGGGTTATGCTGTTCGGTGTGCCATGCATTTTTTTCCATGAAGAACCAGTTTTTTCATCAGTGATTGGTCTGGGGGGATTTAAATGGATTTTTTGTTGTTTATATCAAAGTAATTGCGTTTGTGTTCAAATTAACATGTTTTTATATATGGTTGTTGCAGTAGATGTGACTAGGCATGTCCCCGGAAGAAGGCACGTTCTTATAGTCAGATTTCTTGCATGCATATCTTTGTTGCTTGCTGGGCTGGTTGGAAGATTATTCAGAAAGGCGAATCCAGAGAACATAGTGAAAGATGAGAGAAGAATACATTCTGCAAATTCAAATTCTCAAGAACAGCCCATTTCACGGCCAAATAGTAAGGAGCTCCTCCATCCATGCTGTGAGAAGTTGCAACATTTAGAGAATGTCGTCACCGAATTGTTGAAGAAACCTACAAAAATTCCCCCAGAGAAGGATGACATCCTACTTGAATCTTTGAATCGCATAAAATCCATAGAGCACGACTTGCAGAAAACAAAAAAAGTAAGATTTTTCACTGTCAATGTAATCCTAAATTTTTTTGTCTTCTTCCAATTAATTGTTGATCGACACAAGTAAACTGTCGTATCCAGGCACTGTTTGCAACAACTTCAAAACAAGTAGAGCTTTCCGAGTCATTGGAGACTCTAAAGGAATCCAGTCTAAATGTGAGATCTCATTTACTCTTATGGCTTGTTTGGCAAGGAATCACACACTACTAGACAGTAGTCCATAATAATGTTAAGTCTTGTCCAATATTGCAAACTAAACATCCCCCTAAAAGGAAATGCTTGAAAAGCTGCTCAACATAATCTTGATGGTCAGTGTTTTAAACCCTTCACAGTGCCAGAATTTGACAGTGTATTTTTACAAATGCCAGGGGACGAGATCTTGTTGGCTCCGAAGCAGCAAGTCATTACCTCGCAGAACCTGACATAGAATATCAGCGAGGAACTCTTTCTTTGATATGAGCCCCTCTAGGTACTTTTTTTTTTCCTTGTGACCTTCCAACCCAAGTTAAGATCAGTAGAATGGCGTGGTTACTAATCAGAAGTTCAATGCATGGCACTCCACGGGTAATTTAAGTTTTTTCTTGTTGAAGTTGGAAATTGTTTATCCATGTTGAGTATAGTTGCCGTTGAAAATTCAATAAATTAGGCTTGGAATTCATGCTCAACCACCGGAAGACTTGCAAAACAGATGACGGGTAGTATGCTTGCCACCCTATTCGACTAGTTGGTAAAGCCTATTTTCCTGATTTTCAACATCAACCGTACTCATTGTTGGCTGGAAGTTGCCGAACAATTTCCAATGTCAACCTCTCTCTTTATCTCTCATATGTATTTTCTTTCTTTTTTTTTCTTCAGGTTTTAACAGTGGCAGTTTCAAACACAGAAGAAGATTGCAATAAATTGATTTATCATACAATTATTTGTTCATATTTTACATTTTATAAAAGCAAACTATATGTATTCCCATTAAATCCAAATTTTGTCAGCTACAGATAATCACATGCAATATACTGAACTCTTATATTATTTGATAAAGTAATCACACTTACCTGCAAAGTCTTTCACATTTGTATTGGATTTTGATGGTGGCAAGTGAACTCTTTAGCAAAGATTCTCTTTGGGTCCTTAATCATCATTGGTAAATTCCTAGTCTTCGAGTTGGTTAGCTCCATGTTAGCTTTGTTGGGTCGTAATAGTCAAATTTCATTTTCAATTAAACATTTTAAGGAATTCATAAGTATTATTCACTCATTTTAATTTATTTATAAATTCAGTTTTATTACAAGTACAGTTTGGTTGGCGCGTGTGAGATTGTTAACATTTTTGCCATTAATTTTAACAATACTTAAAACAATAAATGATACATTTTTACACATCATTGAATATTAACAAAGATGTCAACAATCAATGTACGAATAACATAATTCTCACTCTCACTGTGGCAGGCAACATGACTCTATTAAGGGAGGAGTAAAAAGTTTGATTAATCACCGAACTTTGCCTAACGTCACATTGTAGTCACTGAACTTTCGTTTGCTGCTCAACAGTCACTGAACTTACAAACAAACCACTCCATCCATCACCCAACAGTCCGGCCGTTTAAACCCGTCCCACGTGATTATCAGAAAAGCCCTCAAATTTTATGGGATTTTATCTGAACTCACGAAAATTAGGGTGGAATTAGGAAGAATTCCACAAGAAATCCAAGACCCATAACTAAAATTATCAGAAATCGTGCTTATATTCAAGAAATCAAAAGCTTCTGGGATCTCCTCATTAATCAACCTGCACACTGCATTAAGAGCCGCACAAACCACCAAATAATTATCGCACAATCAGTTTGGTGTTGCTGTGGAGGCGACGAAGATCTGCCACTCGACAAGTGTGGAAGAATCGATTTGGAGGTGGGTGTTGAAGGAAATCGATCTAGGGTTTCGATTTGCAATTGGGGATTTGAGACTTTTGTTTTTTAATTAATTGTGAGGATCGTGTTTTTTCAGTTGAAATGGCGTCCACCATGGCTGACTTTCACGCCGTCGATTGCCACATCGACTACCGTCAAGCCACGTGAGAGTGGTTCTAACGATTGGGTACATGGGTAATGGGGTGTCCAAAAGTCCCGAACCCGAACCGGAACCGAATCGAGCGGTTCTTCATAAATTAAATACCCAAACAGATACCCGAATCAAGAACCGATGGGNACAGGACCGAACCCGAACGGTTCCATAATTACATTTGGACCCGACGGATCCATTTATTAAATACCCGAAACTTTTGGGTCGGTTCGGGTCTCTTCAGAACCGAACCGACCCGAACCGACCCACGGACAGCTCTAGGTGATGGATGGAGTGGTTTGTTTGTAAGTTCAGTGACTGTTGAGCAGCAAACGAAAGTTCAGTGACTACAACGTGACGCTGGGCAAAGTTCGGTGATTAATCAAACTTTTTACTCATTAAGGGAGTGCCCCGCAACACATGCGATTTCAGTTCAAACATTTAACACCGTAGAGAATTGTAGAAGAAGGTACCGAAGGTTATCCATTATCTACACCCTAACGGGTCGCCGCACGTTTAGAATGCCCCCACGGTCGACCTAAACCACCACCACCACCACCACGACGCACCGCCACCGCCGCCGTCCACAACATGCTATAAAATTCACTCCCCGAACTTCCAAATTCCCATCCCAACACCCATGGCTTCGCCTCCCTCCTCTCCCCCTCCCCTATCCTCCTCCCCACAAGCTCACCTCCCACCACCCACAGGCCTCCAANTCCAAATTCCCATCCCAACACCCATGGCTTCGCCTCCCTCCTCTCCCCCTCCCCTATCCTCCTCCCCACAAGCTCGCCTCCCGCCACCCACAGGCCTCCAATCTGAAGACTCCCCCGGTCCATCTTCCGGTTCTCCCAAACGCGAACTCTTATCCTTAACCGGACCTGAATCCGTACTGGCACTCCGAACATCGCCATCTAAGAAAACCCCACCCCTCCCCTGGACCCACCAGGAAACTGTTAACCTAATCCAAGCTTACCAAGAAAAATGGTACTCTCTCAAGAAGGGTCAGCTCAAGGCTTCCCAATGGGAGGAGGTGGCAGTCACCGTTGCATCGCGCTGCGGGTTTGATGAGCCATCAAAAACCTCCACGCAATGCCGCCACAAGATCGAGAAGCTCCGGAAACGGTACCGGGCTGAGCGGCTCAAGCCTTGTCCGAATTCGTGGCAGTATTTTGAGCTTATGGATCAAATGGAACGCGGTCCGCTGCCTCTTAATGCTCGCCCGGTGGCTGTAGTTAAGTCTCCGAATACTATGTATAACATTAGTAGTAACGGTAATAATCACACTAATAATATTAGTAGCCTTTATTCTGGTGCTGCGGATTATGATTACAATAATTCTGATGATAGTGATGAGGAGTGGAATGCTAGTTATGGCGTAGAGACGTCAAAGAAGAACAAGTCGAAGAGTATTAACAATTTAGTGCGCAGGGAGGTGGGTATGAAGAGTGGGGTTAGAAATGGGAGCAAAATGGGGATGGAGAGGACTTTTAACGAGGGCACTGATCGGGTTTTGAGGGCCTTGAGAAATCCCATAAATGGGAAGCGAACAAGGTATAATTATGAGGACAGTGAGGATGATGATGACAACGATGATGATGAAGAGGGTGAAAGGATGCAAGTAAAGGAGGAGCAGGAGGAGAAAGGAAATGGTGAAGGGGGTGGAGGGCGAGAATTGGCCGGGGAAATTAGGGGTTTTGCCGAGAAGTTTATGAAAATGGAGAATAAGAAAATTGAGATGATGAGAGAAACGCAGAGGTGCCGTATGGAGATGGAAAAGAAAAGAATGGATATGGTTCTTGAGGCCCAAAGGAAAATTATTGATACCATTGGCAGATCATTTGGAGCTCATAAGAAATCGAATATCAGTCAAGAAATATGAAGGTTAATATTTCTACTGCTTAATTTTTTTTAGGTTTTCAGAAATAATTGATAGTCCAATGATGTAATCACATAAATCCGTGACCTTTTATTGGTTTTCAGATGTTATTTGTAGTGTATAGACAATATTTCAGTTTCAGTAGTTGGCTGTTTCATTATTGCTAGGTAGAAATTTATCATATTCAAAGTGTAAATTTTATCCTTTTTCATTGGTGTTGTGAGAATTCTTGGTAGAATGAAGTGCACGAGCATATTCATTTCTCTTTCAGCTCTAAATATAGTTTGTGTTTGACATTCAAGTGTTTTTCAATATGTTATTGAAACTTTTTGAAACTTATTACGTGTGTGAATCCACTAAAACTTCACTTGTTGTCGAAACGTCCAGTCTGGTTGTGTATGTATACGACCAGTGTGTTTGAAATTGTGCTTGGTTCCAAGTATGCTGTATGCTAAACCACAATAACTGCTTCTCTCTCTCTCGCTCTCTCCCTCCCTCCCTCCCTCTCTTAATATTTCGTGATTCTTGCCGCCTTTTATAGTGCTTCAATCTTTAACTAAATTACTCTCCTAAGGTAATGAATATTTGTGCAACGCAAATGTTTATAGCTTTTAAAATTGCTTTTCACCCTTCTTATCTTCATTTTGTCTTGGTTTACTTCATTTGGCATAGCTCTAATTCATCTTTCCTGGGTTGGTTCCTTTCTTATGTTTGGAATTTGGACTTGTGCTTTGCTCGATTCTGGCTTTAATTGAAAGTGACAGGAAATGTTTACCTTGGATAAAAAGAAACGTGAAAAGTGATGCTACTTGTGCAGTAAACTAATACAGTTTCCTATTTTTACTCAAAAGAAGTGTGACTTTATTAGTGTTCTCTTAGTACAAGATTGATCAGGATAAATAGTTTTCCCCTCGAACATCATTGTGCAATGAATCCTAGTTGGAGTAACTAGCTGAAGGATAAAGTATTGGCTTTAAATACGTGCTTTCCATTGTTCACCTTGTGCTGTTATGATGTTTGCTTAGCTGCCGTTCATTATGATTTCTGTCTTCCTTAAATGCCTCAGTCGAAGTATGGACTGATGCAGTTTCTTGAAGGTCAGAAGGTAAAGATTGTTTTTCGTTTGTCTAAAATTTACATCACCTCCTTTTCTGGTAATTATTTAACTTCCCTTCATGTTTAAGAGTTGTCTGGCAATTATTTAACGTCATGTTTAGAGTTGTATGACTGTATTTGCAGTATACACCGAGTTTTTGCTTTGTATGGTTCATCACGTTGCTCGGTTTCCACTGAAAAACTGTTTTAACTGCCTTCTCCTTGAGCACTTTTGAAGTGAGGTTTGGAACCATCATCTTTCTACTCTGCAAATCCTCAAGAAAGTTGAGATCTAAATTCGACTCTGAACAGCATGTGCAGGTAGATTGTTAGTTTGGTGCATTTCAGGAAAAATGATTATTTGCGAACACTCTTTTGAGGTCCATTTGGTATTTGGTGTCTCAACAAATTATTGTACCCTCAAACTTTGCAGATTTAATTCGAAATTCTGAATTAGAAATCATTTCCATATACAGATCTGAAATATTATCTCACGGAATTCCAATTTTAGGATCCAATCAAACTCACTCAAAATCAGCAAGAGAAGTTTACATTGAGAAGAGAATATATTGCAAAGTGGGGCGGGTTCTATGGATGAACTTGGCACGCATTTTGCAAGCTTAGTCGTACGACATGCAAGAGGGAAAAACTCGCTGTGGCAAAAAGAAGTTTGAAAGAGTAATTTAAGAGCATTATTATATACCAAACATGCACTGTATAATCGAAAACAACGTGTATCATCCCCTTAGACTCGTTTGTAAAAAATTTTATAAGCGTGGAAAACAGCGTCAAAATCACGTACAAAAAATAAACAAATTTTTGTTTTGTCTCCCAAGTTATATATCTTCATTTAATTCTGGTGATTGAATAAATGAAACATTGATCACGAGAGCAGAATGGGAGTAAGAGATTTTAGTACGTGGCGATTTTCTAATGTACATTGATAAAAATCATAATGCCCCCTCTAGACACCATATCCATGTTTTTTTTAAATCTAAAGTTGCAAAATCATATGCAAATCTTTTCTCTCTCCACTTTACTGCCAATTTTCAAATGTCACAAATGGCCATCATAGGCATAAAAACAAAATGGTCCTGTGAGTTTTCAAATACATCACTCCCTCTTATACTCTACAACACATGGGTACAAAAATTGTAAGGGCTCGAGAAAGATGTAGGATGACCGCTACAAATATTAACCATAATATAACCAGATGACTAATATTCACAAAATTCCTACAGCCTTTGGCCAAAACAATGTTAACAAGTGAAATAATACACGGCTGATCTATGGGGGCAAAAACAATTAGGGCCCCTAATTTACTGAGCAGGAAAAAAGTAACCACCAAAAGGAGAGATGAGACTATGTACACCTACCTCTATCATCTGTCTCTTATCTTCCCCAAGCTTTAGATCAATAGTAATGTACAAAATACCCCCAAAGTCGTCTTTGCCGAATTGCAGAGAACTTCGTTTGACCAACTTGTCATCTTTCCATGCCCAGATAGAACCATAAGCTTCAAACTGAATAATGCAAAAAACAGTTGGTATATTGTCCCACATAGAGAGTAAGAATTTTTACTGAGCAAAAGCCAAATAGAAGCGTGTAGAGGAGATCAAAATTGCAATACTGTAAGTTTTAAAGAAATTTTTACAGTTCACATTTTGTGTGTAGACAAAAAGTTGAAACCCTACGGGCCTGCTTGGGAGTTTTATTTTTACCGGTTTTGGGTGGCACCGTTTATGAGGGGGTTGGAAGAACCGATGCTCGTTAGTTTTTTTGTGTCCTGATTTTAGATGGTTTAAAACCACCCAAAAACGATATAGTGTAATTTTAACCGGTTCTCTCATCCCATAAAATCAGCACTTTTTTACCTTTTCTCAAATTCTCTTCTAATTTTATCCTTTATAAAATAATTATTTCAAACCAATATATTTTGTTTAATACTATACTAAAACAATTATTTATAAACAAAAAAAATTACATTATAATTTAAAAATTACTTATAAGTAAAAAATTATTTTGTGTAAAAATATTACTAATAAGACAAAAAAAGTCCCTTAAATATAAAAACTTACATAAGTAAAAAATTCACTTTTATGTAGAAATTATTTCAAGTTACAAAATTAACTTATAATTATAAATTTCATTTATAACCAAAAATACAAACATAAAATTTTAAGTAACTATTAGCTTGTATGTAAAAAAATTACATAAGTAAAATATTACTTATAAGTAAAAAATTTCATACAAAAAACTATAAACTAAAAATTTCACAAAGGGACGTATATGTAACTTTATTTTTTGAAAAAAACTTTCAGAACCAGTGGATAATAAACTATCAAACATGGGTTGGACCGTTAGAAAAACTGCTACTAAAATCACTCATAACCGGTTCGCTCATAAACACTCAAAATCAGTACTTCAAAAAACGCTCACAACCGGTACACCGGAACTCCCAAGCAGGCCCTAAATAGCAGAAAAAATAGAGTTCTTCATGGTCAACTATTACCTTGTAAATAGAATGGCATAAGCACGCAAAGACCTAAATAAAGCAGTGAAGTCCATGCGTGTCAACTGATATTACAGATATAAGGAATCAAGGTATGAACTAACCTGTAAATTGTTGTCTCAAAAGTATGGTGACCTAACCCGGGCAGGACCAATCACCACCAAGAGACATCTGTTAAGCGTCCTTCATTCCAGTTTAGGGTTACTTGGCCAACCATTCAAACTACCATTCCCTGCTTGCAAGAGCTGTGGCTGCTGCTGCTGAGGTTGGGCTGCTGGCGAAGGAGGTGGTTGTAGTTGTGATGGTTGCTGCTGCCATTGAGCACTAACATCACGTTCAATTTTAGGTAAGCTCATAGACGACAGCCTCTGACCAGGCCCTTGAATATTTTGAGGCACGGATTCATTAGCACCCACTGGTGGAGGAACCAAGGAACCCAAATTTGTTGGTGAATTTGAAGTACCAGAATCAAACAACAGCTCTGAACCATTCCGGTGCGCACTAGGAGGAGAAATGACCTGTGCTACATTAGTTGCATTGTTACAGACCAGTGGCAATGTTGTCATGGGACCCATCTCAGCGGAACTGCTTGTTGCAAGCTGTTCAGTACGACAATCTCTGGCTTGCTGCTTGTTTGGCGGGTCAGAATTAGGTTTTCGATTTTGATGAAATCCTCTCTGAAGAGACTCTGGATTTTGATTCACCAACTTTTTGTGAGGTGGTGCCTGTTGGTGATTGGAGGCAGCCATGCTCACAGTTGGAACAGATTGATGGCCGGCAGATGAAGTAGAAGCAGGAGCAACTGGTAGAACCAGACCTTCATTGCTATTATCAGAATGAGAAGGCATTTGAGGTGGGTTTTTTAAGGATGAAGTTACTTGGCCAGAATACGTCTTTTGCTGAGGCAGGGATTGATTAGATGATTGTGAAGGCATATATTGCCTTGCCGGTTGCACAGCATTTAGCGGTGGCCCAGGATATGCCTGGCCTTGAATTAAATGTGTGCTTGGCTCTCCTGTCTCTGAAAACTGGTTCCCTGTATTCATCGAAATGCCATCCAAAAGGGAGGGGTCAACAGGGATGTTCTGATGCATCAAGTTTCCTCTTCCAACTCCCTTTAAAAGTTTAGCCTGCTGTTGACTCTGTGACTGTTGTCGCTGCTGGGGATGTGGCATGTTACCATGCAAAACCTGCTGCTGCTGCCGCTGCCGTTGCTTGCCTGTCCGATTGACACTGCTAACAGTTTGAGAACTATGCATTTGATGCTTCTGCTGCTGCTGCAGCATTGTATTAACAGAAGCAGATGTTAGTGGAGAATGTGATACCAATGGAGAGCTTGTTTGGGACTGAACTTGGGAACTATTTTGTAAAGGTGACGAAATAGGAAGTTGCGGTT